TGACTATTGACATTTTCATTTTTTTCCAGGTTCTTATTTTAGTTATTTCTACAGTTGGTTTTGTTTCTTTTACTAGGACTTGTTCTGAAAAGCCTTTTCAGTAGAATAAAGTTTGTATACAATTGTATCTGATGTATCTAATTTTTAAAAAATTAATGCAACTATCTTGATTGGGTGATGGTTTCAAAGGTGTATACACAGGTCAAAAGTTATCAGTGTATATACTTTAAATATATGCTGCTTATTGTGTCAATTTTACCTGTAAAAAGCTGTTTAAAAAATAAAAGTAAGATAAACTAATGTAGCTCACTCCAGCTTTTCATTCAAACCTCAGATTTCTAAGTGCTTTCTTAGCACTCAAAAAGTTTCATATCTATCAAGGCATTTTATTCTTTTATTTGCTTGACACAAAAATACTGGGTAAGTATAATTTTTGCTATTTGAACTTGAAAAGGCTTAAAGTACTTGTGGGTTAAGTGGTTTGCCCAAAGCATCAAAGTCAAAGACATAAAGAGAATGTTGGTCTCCCTCCCCGCTACTCCCTAATCTTTTCATTCTAAGAAATACAAATTTTTCTTGTTCTGAGACNGGCTTAAAGTACTTGTGGGTTAAGTGGTTTGCCCAAAGCATCAAAGTCAAAGACATAAAGAGAATGTTGGTCTCCCTCCCCCCTACTCCCTAATCTTTTCATTCTAAGAGATACAAATTTTTCTTGTTCTGAGAGTGATCAACAGAGCTAAGCAATCTTACACAGTGGGGAATAGGGAGAAAGCAGCAGAAGAGACTGAACTAATTAATTGTTGGAAAAACAGATGAGAGAATGAGACACTAAGTAAGAAATGGCTGACTTAATTCATTCAACCAATATTAAGTCAGCAGTGGCTTTGTGCTACACTTGCTAAACGTTGGGAGTATAGTCATGAACATCGCTGGTATGGTCCTTGTTTTCATAAATTTGAAGTTCAGTGGGGAAGAAAGACATTAAACAAATATACAAACTATTATATAATTACAATTTTCATAAATGACAAGAAATACACAGGTTGCAACAAGCATGTACCACAACATGTTTTTCACACTACAGACCCAGTTGTGGTGACCAGTAATTTTTTAAGTCCTATTAGTTCTTCAGGGGTCAGCTCAATAAGTCATTCTTTTCCAAGATTCTTAAACCCACCTCATCAAAGTAACGTATCTCTCTACTAAGATTCTATGCTTTATATAAAATTTAACTGGACTTTGAGCTCCTTGTAGGTAGGGCCCCTGACATTTGTTTTAATGCCTAATTACTTGCCACTTATTCATTTAGAAGCTTTCACAGCCCAGCCAGGGTGGTTCAGTGGTTGAGTACTGACCCTTGAACCAAGAGGCCACCAGTTAGATTCTCAGTCAGGGCACATGTCTGGGTTGCAGGCTCAGTCCCCAGTACGGGGTATGCAGGAGGCAGCCAATCATGTTTCTCTCTCATGGATGTTTCTGTCTCTCTCTCTCCATTCCTCTCTCTGAAATCAATAAAAACATATTTTAAAAAAAGAAAAAAAGAAACTTTTACAGAGTGCCCACATTCCAAGTACTAGGCTGCCAGGCACTACATTCATTCATTTACCTACCTATCTATTTACAGCACGATGCCCAGGGCATGCAAGACACTTAGTAAGTGTGAATTGAATTAAATGTTGCACCTGAAATCAGTGCCTTTGGAAAAAATACTGCTCTCACAGCCCTCTACATACATCTAAATGGTATTTTACCTAGTTTAAAATCTCCTTTACTCCCAAATATAGGCATGTAAATAACTCTAAATTCTCTCACACAGGCTAACTTAGGAATCTACCTTCCTGCTTTTACATCACCAAAGTTTCTGATATTAAAATGTTTCATCAATTTTTCTGAAATTGGCACTGATACCCCCAGCAATGGTGCAATGGTTGGAAGACTGATATAAAACAACGGTCTTAACAATTTCCCTTCTTGTACCCAAAAGAACCAGCAAAACTCAGTTTCCAAATGACAGTGAGCTGCCACAATTCCCACGTAGGATCTTTCTAACCAACATAACACAGATCAAAACTCTGAGCTTCTCTCATCACTCAGACAAGAAATCACATGCTACACAAGTTACGTAGTTCAAAACAACTCCAGAGAGGGTACAGAGAGTCACTTTCTTTTCATCTCTTTGACTATGAAAGACACACAAGTTTTTGTAGAGGTGAACTTAAGAAGAAAATTAACACCAGAAGCATTAAATCAGGCTCCCAAATAACTTACTTTCTCCTGAAAGTAGTTTGCTGACAAGTTATAAATTTCCACAGTGCCATCTGTTCTTGAAACAGCCAATCTGTTTGACTGGTTATTGTAAGCCACACAGCGAATTCCTGATGGAACATAATTAAAGAAACGAACTCGATGGACCTTAAATTCACCCATTCCTAAGGGAGGAAAAAAAAGAGTCATTTTTGTTAAATGTTAACTGCAGTATTATTCCTTATCATCACTGCTCTGGATGGAAGACTCCAACTATATTTCGCTGAAGTTCATTTCCAAGTATCTAACTAATAATATTTTCATGCCCCACACCAGAATTTATCAATCTCCAGAGGCTCAAGATTCTTTTGCAAATAAATGAACATGTTAACATATAGAGCATTACCCAGACCTCTAACAATCCTGACAACTGCCTGAAGGAAGGTGTATGGGAAAGGGGTGAGAATCTAAAATTCGATCTTAGAACAAAAGAATGAACATAATCTCATTCTGTAATGGGAGCGTGGCTAGAGGGAAGAGAGATACTTGGAACTGACCAGCTGTATTCCAGGCAGAACTAAGGTCCTTGTGTCTATTTGGGGCGTGAGGTTTCTGGAAGGGTGAAGACACTTGCTAAATGCTGGGAATACGGGGTAAACACCACGACCACCCCAAAGAGGCAAGAAATGCTGACAGCCTAAATCAGTCTCTCCAAGTCAGGTCTGCAGAACTCCTGCATCAAAATCACCTTGAAAAAATGTTTCTTAAAAATGCCGGATTCCGGGTCTTGCTCCATAGCTCCAGAATTCCAATTTCTGGGGGTGGGGGACAGACACCAGGAATCTGCATTTTTAACAAGCACTTCTCCCTAACTCTACTGCACTCTAAGGTTGCAAATCACAGGCTCAAACTATGGTAGTGAAGGTGGGGTTGATGGGGCAGACAGAACCGAGAGGTCCCTCAAGGAGGAAGCGACAGGACTTGGTCTGGCATCTGTCAACCACCCCTCCCACCGCACCCCACCGCGGCCAACACGTGCGCTCGGCAAGGGCAGGGGCCGGGTTTGGCTCGCCCCTTACTCGTCTCCCTTCAAGGCTAGGAACCCGAGAGCAGAAAAGGTGTGTTGGGCCCGGCCCAAAGGGAGTCTGAAGCTCGCGCGAGGTCTCCACCGCCCCTTTCCTCTCCGGGGACCTACGGAGTAGCCCCCACTCGCGCTCGACACAAGGGAACCGGCGAGCTCCAAGGGGTTTCGACCTAGAGCGGGCGGCAGCCCGACCTGCCCTCTCTCACAGCCGTTACCCACACCCCTTCCCCAACTCACCAGCGGATGGGCTCTCGCTACTCTCCGCCCCGGCCCCACGTGCGCGCGCTCTGCCCCGGAAGTGCTC